GGGGGGGGGGGGGGGTGGATGTGATGTGCAGTACATAACCGCAGAGCAGTATGGCCTCCCGACGCTGACCAATGGGATCCCCTACGGCGCGGGCAGCCCTACCAAAGACAGAAAGCAGTTCTGCTACGGTGAAAAGTGCAGTGCAGTGAAGCCGGACACACACACACACACACATGTGTGTGTGTGTGTGTGTGTGTTGTGTAGATGGGTTCGACAGCGACTTCTGTCTGAAGCTGGACCGCTTTGAGATCCGCAGGACGACCACGGTCGTGGGCTCACTCAAGACGGACAACGGCACCGCACTCCCTACCATGAGGTGCACTGACGCGCCCAGAGAAGGTCAGTCCGCTGACACACATACCCCTCCACCCCTCCGCCCTCAGACACACACACACACACACAGACAGAGAGAGAGAGAGAGACAGAAGGGGTGTCTATCTCCTGTGTGTGTGCAGGAGTGCCAGGTTTGGCGCCTGCCCTTTCCAGCTCAAGTGGCGGTCAGGTGGGTCAGTGTGAGGAGGGCCCATGCCTCAACGACGGCACTTGTATAGAGGCCGTCAACTTTGCCCACTGTGACTGCCCGGCCAACTTTGCCGGCGACCTGTGCGAAAGAGGTGACCAAGCAAAGCACCGAAGGATGGGTGGGTGTATTGTGGATGTGTGTGTGTGTGTGTGTGTGCAGCTCTTGAGGTGCCGACGAGTCGGCTGTGGCGGCTGGTCAACACGCACCCCACCAGCCAACATTTTGGAATCATTGAGATCAAGTACCCCACACCCACAGCCACGTGTGTGTATGTGTCTGTGTGTCGTGTGCGCGTCTGATCTACAGGTTCTTCGCCGATCGGCACTGCCGCGAGCCGATTCCCCACGACCTCGGCATGCCACTAGACAACACCGTGGACATCACCAGCAACGGCGAGCCACGAAGGAGGGAGCCGTCAGACAACGCAAAAAAGGCAATAAACAAACCACGCCTCTCACGCCACTCAAGAAACACCCACAGACACAATGTGTGTGCGGTGCCTGCCAGGCGTTTGACGGGCGTGACCCCCTTGTGGGCAACGGCATGGAGGCGTGGGTGTCGCCGTGCAGGAGGCGGTCGTGCCGGGCGTGGGAGGGGTGGATCGGGGTGCACTACGACACTAACCACACCGTGCAGTGCGTCCAGGTACCATCAATCCATCCACCCTGCATCTGTCCATTGTGTGTGTGTGTGTCCACTCCATCCATCCATCAGTTTTGGCCGTCGAAGGAGCCCCCCTCGCCGCCGATGTCCCTCCAGCACTGGGACACAGACAAGAACACATGGAACAGGTGTGTGTGGGTGTCGGTAGGTGGGATGCAGTGATTGACACAGGAGCACAGGTGCACTGTGTCTGTGTGTGTGTGGCGTGCAGCATTGCGGGTTTCCAGAGCTACAGCGGGGGGAAGGGCAACGCGCGGGTCACTCTGCTCAATGAAGGTAGGTACCCTCCTTCCCCCCCCCTCTCTCCCCCCCCACACACACACTCCTACACACACACGAGCGTGTGACGGCCGTCACTCACGCCTCTCTGTCAGGTGTGTTGAGTGGTCCTGGTCGTGAAGTGCTGACCAAGTCGCTGTCTGGCGGTGTGCCGGCGATCGAGAGGCAGTGGGCGATGGAGGAGACCGATGAGAAGCTGCCCGCATCCAACGACATGCCTGGATGGATGTGTAAGCCAAGTGAAGACATGTGCCCTTGGTTGAGCGGCATCAGCCAGCCAGCCAGCCATCCCTCTGTGTGTGTCTCTGTGTGTGTGTAGTTGGACTGATAGTCGCGGTGTGTTTGCTCTTCATCGGCTGCCTCGTCTCATGCTTCATCTGGTGAGCGAGCCCCCCCCTCACACACACACACATACCCCCCCCCTCTCTCTCTCTGTGTGTGCAGCGGCCGCATGTACTGGGCCTGCCTCCAGCGCAGCTGCGGCTACTGCTTCATCGGCCGGCAAGACCCAAACGTCGTCAAGTTCCGCAACTTTGTGGAAGACGATGACCACCGGCGGACGGGGGCACCCAGATGACCTTACCCTTATGTATGTGTGAGTCCTTCCGTGTGTGTGTGTGTGTGTCTGCGCGGCTTGCCAAGTGGTCTGAGGGGCGATCGGTCCACCTGCAGGCACAGAGATCTGCAGACTGGCCTGCACACACTCGGGGCGGCTCGGAAACCTACCTGCCTGTCGCGAGCTTTTTTTTGCCTCTGTGGTGCCTGCCTGCCATTGATGTGTACGTGTTGGGTGTGTGTGTGTCTGTCTTTATGTGAACTTTATCAAAACCAAACCCCATGTGAGACGATATGAGACGAGATGAGACCGCGCCAGGCTAGCTGTGTGTGAGTGTTTGTGGTGTGCCTGTGGGGTCTGTCGTTTCGTTGCGCCAGCCAGCCAGCCAGCCACTGTAGTACTAGTCACGGTGTGGTATGCTGTCTGCCTGGCTCCCTGCATGTCTGTGTGTGTGTGTGTGTCACATCGACGCTGCCTGCCTGCCTGCGCTTTGGCAAGCGGCACCGACGAACGATCGAACGAACGAACGAAGGGGCCGCCAGCAGTCAGTCCATCAGTACCAACCAACCACCTAGTGCCGGCCGGAAAGACCTGCAGCCCTAGCCTCCCTCTGATCTCTATCAACACCAGCCGCACTAGCCCCGCCCCGCCCGACACTCACTGAAAATGCCGAGGACCATCCATCCATCCACTCATCCATCCATCCAGTGCCGTGCCGTCCGCACAACACACGACGACACAATGCCACCAACTCAGTCGGACTGAGTGATCACCGATGGGTGAGGCACTTCGTCACTTGGTGTAGTCTCCCAGAGTCTTGACGCCATTCAGTCTCTCCAAGGCGAGCGTCAGCCCGTGAATGGCCGCATCACCGTCGCCCTGAGCCTAAATGACACACACCGCCCCGCACACCACACCACACCACACCACACCACAGACGTGCACCTCTCTCTCTCTCTCTCTCACTCTCTCTCTGTGTGTGTGTGTATGTGTGTGCTGTCCCACCGACCTGCATGGCCACGTACAGCTGATGCGCGAGTGCCAGGCCGGGCAGCGCGAGACCCATTCTGTTGGCCTCCTCCACACAGATTCGGAGGTCCTTGACGAACAGCGCCACGCTGCCCCCACACTTGAAGTCGCGACGCAGGATGCGATCGCCGTAGTTCGTCAGACTCCTGAAGGCCACGCGCAGAGAGGGAGAGAGAGAGAGAGGGAGGGAGAGAGATAAGCTGCCTGTCTGTCCGTGTGTGTCGCCGGCTGGTCTGACTTGACTGACCATGAGCCGGCCGCCCCCTTAGAGACCCCGGCGAGGGCTTTCTCGACGTCAAGCCCCGCACGATGAGCATACAGCAGCCCTGCACACCGACACCCACAGACACACATGCACTGGAGGATTGAAGGCTCAGTGCAGTGCAGTGGGTGTGTGGTGTTTCGCGCACCTTCAGCGACGCCGATAAGGTTGATTGACACGAGTATCTGGTTGGTGATCTTCATGTGCTGCCCGCTCCCCGCCGGCCCCATGTGGTGGATGGCCTCTTCCTTCGACATGCACACCAGCAACGGCCGCACCGCATCGAACGCCGACCGGTCGCCACCGCAGAATATGGCGAGCCGGCCCTCACGCGCACCCACGTCCCCGCCCGACACGGGCGCGTCGATGACATAGCAGCCTTGCTGAGCCACACGCTCGGCGATGCTTGCAGAGAGGGAGGGCTTGCCTGACACACGAAGGTGGTGCAGGGAAAAGGTGTGTGTGGGGGTGAATGGGTGAGGGGTTTACTGGTTGTCATGTCGACGATGATGCCGCCTGGCCTGAGGCCCTCCATAGTGCCGTCAGCACCTACTATGGCTGAACCAACGGCCACACACACACACACACACACACACAAAGAAGGAAGGGTGTCCACACACTCTCAAAGCAGAGAGCATCGTTCGTCTGTCAGGCAGCGTACGTACCCTTCTCAGCGTCTTCAGGGAAGCCCACACAGAGGAACACCACGTCAGCTTCATTGGCCACCTCTTTGGGCGAACCAGCCACTTGCGCACCTGCACACACACACACACACATGCCCTCTCGGCTTGTTGCAAATGAGGCCGGCTGCCCTGCCCTCACCCACCCAGCTCCACGAGCGGCGCGCACTTGGAAGGGGAAAGGTCGAACACAGTGGCCGAGTAGCCCTACGCAGACAGCCAGCCAGACAGACAGACTTTCACCCCGACAGGCAGTGCAAAAGACACACACGTCCACGGCCGCCCCTGCCCACCGGTCCACCCGCCCACCCACCCCTCGTATGCAGTTTGCGCACATGCCGCCGCCCATGACGCCGGTGCCAATCCATCCGATGCGCGTCGATCCTGGCGACACTGACAGTGGCTTCGGCATTGCCGGCATCGTTGGACAGATGGGATGGGACAAGCTGAATCAGAGGAAGGAAGGCCATTACAAGCAGCAGAGTGCCGCCCTTCTTGCCTTTGCAGAGCGCACCTCACAGCCGAGGGGGTCCGAATAGAGTCTTCTTCAGCGAGTGCACTTCTCGCTTTGCTGCTGCCGGCGTCAGCGATATCGGCAAGGGGCAGGGCAGAGGAGCCTCCACAAACCGCCTGCCAGCAGATCCGAGGAATCGGCTTAGCTTGCAGATGGACCGGTGCCAGGAAGGAAACGCCAAGCGAATGGTCAGAGGTGGAGGACGAGAGGCTGCCGAGCGTCTGCAGAAGTGTGCTATTAATATCGGTGCGTAACGGTCTCCGTCAGTGACTCAGTGGTCGTTGACGTTGAGTGAAAGGCTGGGCGGATCTTGCTGTCTGTGCTGCCGGCAGGAAGATACGATACGACGAAAGGGCGCGGCGCGTTTTCCTTAATTGTCTGATCTGTCTGTCTGGCTGTCTTTGTCCGTCGGCCTGTCTGTCTGTCTGTCTGAGTGAGTCAATGTGTGTGGAGTGCATTGTGTTCGTTCGTTTGCCAACGTAGTGGTCCGTCTGTCTGTCTGGGCGGGCCCAAGCTTGCTTGTGTAGTTTTTCGGGTGTACATGTGCCTCTCTCTGTTGTGTATCGAATCGATGCTTTGGCGATGCAGTGCAGCAATGTGCACGTCAGTCAGTCAGTCGGGGCCGGTTTGTTTCTGCAGCAGCGCCACCACACATGGGTAGATAACACTTGGCCTTGAGCACACGCGACAGCGCTGAAAAGCGTGAAGGGCGGGGGAGGGAGGGAGGGAGGGAGGCAGAGCCACACACAGGGGAACAGACAGCGGGGTGTACATATTGCGGAATCAGTTGTGTTTTGCGCAGGCAGGCAGGCAGGTGTGTGTGTGTGTGCGTGTGTGGGTGTGTGGGTGAGGGGCGCCATTCTTCCTACCGCACCACGTAGCCGTCCGTGAGCAATCGTACGTACATAGCATTTATCCCTCACTCTTTCTGTCTTTCTTTCCGTGTGTGTGAGAGAGAGTGCGCCATCCATCGATCCATCAGCCGGTCATCCCACTGCATCCATCGCAGATAGATATGTCCCTCCCCCTCCACCATTCTAGCAAGACAGACGCACCCAGCAAGACTTTTCCTGCACTCGACTCACACACACATGGCCACACCGACTCACACACACACACACCCGACCACCAGCAGCAGCAGCAGCAGCAGACGAGGAAAGCCTCTCTGCGCACCGTTTTGCACATCCAGTTCTATGCCGTGGGGGCGGTGCTGGTGCAGCTGGCCGTCCAGGCCCTCTTCATGCTCTACTTCGCCCACGAGGCGAAGCTGCTGCATAGGGAGGGGCTGGCGGCGACCTTTTGGTCCAAGTGGGGGTATAGGAAGGCGGGCAAGGGCTGGAATGATGGAGGGCGGCTGGGGCCGGGGGGGTTCTTCCCCTTCTTCCTGATGCTGCTGGGGGCCATCGGGGATGCTGTCAGGTCCGCCCTCATCATCGGTAAGTAAGCAGCGGGGTGGAGGTGACGGGTGGACGCACGAACAAAGCACTGATTCTGTGTGTGTGTGTGTGTGTGTCAGTGTGGACGATCGCATTGAATGGCATCCTGCAGCCCAAGCAGCCGGCGAGGCGACACATCTATATCGCAGGGTGGTGCCTCTTCGTGGTATATTATATTTCGCGAACACGTCGACACGCAGGCCCGCCCAGCAAAGTCAGTCGCTCTGTGTCTATGGTGTGTGGTGTGACTGACACGACACGCAGGGTGGGGTGCTGTTGGTTGTGCTTGAGTACCTGCTGCGTTGGTTCGCCCACCCGGACGCCGTCTCGTTCCCTGTCGCCAGAATACCTCACTACGCCATGTGTGTAACACGCCACACACGCATCCCTCCCCCCGATGCCATTCTCTCTCTCTCTCTCTCTGTGTGTGTGTGTGTGTGTCAGCTTCATAGTATGGTCGATCTGCATATCCCCGGCGTGGTCGCCGCCGGGCTTCAGATTCCAGGCTCTGCAGAACCTGATGCTCTGGCCGGTGTTCGTCTTCTTCACGCAGAACGTGGTCACCGACCAGGCCCTGCTGCTCACCGATGTGTGGAAGCTGGTGCTGCGGCTGCTCCTGTGGCTCGTGTCGGAGGTCTGCTTCTACATGGCCAGAGTGGTACGTACGTGAAAGAGAGAGAGGGAGAGGGGGATGCGGGAGAGAGGGAGGGAGAGGACGGCATGGTGTGTGTGTGTGTGTGCGTGCGTGTGTGGTGTCAGACGGCCTTTCGCATGACGACTGTCCGTGTGGAGTATCGGCATGCGCTCTACCTGCACATGGTCACCTACTTCGCCGTCGCATCGAGATTTCTTCAGGTGGGTCAGACACACAAGCCAGCAGCGGACACCTGTCAGTACTGTGTGTGCCTCACTCAGGGTACCATAACGGACCCCTGGATGGGCGTGGCCGCCGAGCTGGTGTCTCTGTTGATGGAGCTGCGCTTCCACAAATTCTGCCAGGAGACAGACCTACTCGTGGCCGACCTCATCCAGTGCATCCGCAACCGCATCCTACGGCCACTGCTCTGCCACAGGCGGCCCAGCAACAGCCCCGCTCGTGGTAATGGTGAGGGGGGATGCATCAAGATCAAGATCAAGCACTTCAAGCAGCTGCCATTGCCAATGTCGACCAAGAGCACACGCGTGTCAGACACATTGACGAGGGACGACACCACGGCGGTTTCGCCCAAGGCGGCTATGGTGGCGGAGGAACTTGTGACGGTTTTCGTGCACAAGGGTGATGGTTATGACGACAACGAGACCCCCATTGCTGTCCAGGCAGATGTTCAGAAGGATATGGCCACCCCGCCCCCGTCTGTGCCCTCCCTCCCCTCTCTCCCCGTGACCCTCTCCATCCCCCTTGCCGCCCCATCCCACGACGACACACCCATCAGCGCACGCATGGCCGCGCGGCCCCTGAGCTCCTCCAGCCCCCCCAATCTCACCCGCCCCGGCGCAGTAGGGCTCGTCGGGGACAGCAGCTCGCCGTCACAGGAGGACTCCACCTCCTCATGGGCCGTCTATGACCTGCTACAGCTCGACTGCGACGAGCGGTTCGCGAGGGTGCCGATGCACGTGAATGACGCCCACGTCGTGTCGTTGGTCAACCGCGAGAGCGTCAGGCGGCGGAATGAGACGGTGGCCAACCGGGTGACGAGCACACACGCCAGGGAGGGGGCCATGCGAGAGGCCAGGCGCACCACCCGGGCGAGGTCGTATCCCGAAATGTGTGAGCTGGCGGCGAGTGAGGCTTCACCGGAGGTGAGCTTCCCTGAGGCGAGTCTGCCCTCCACGCCCCCCTCCCCGACAATCTGTGGGATGCCCCCCTCTCTCACGCCGCTGCCGGCGGCTGCGTCAGAGGCGCCCCCAGAAGAAGCGGACGACCGGTCATCCGTCTGCACCGACGTCACCGGCACTCGGTCGCTCGCGCACACTGAGGAGCTGAGGGAGCGGTGCTTCGTGGCACAGGCGCCCGTTGCGAAGCCGCTGGCTCAGCGGCAGAGCATCCGACTGAGGTGCGGTGGTGTCACACGTCCATCCATCCATCCAGACACACACTTGTACGATTACCTCTCCCTCTCTCTCCCTCCCTTTCTCTCTCTCTGTGTGTGTGTGTGTGTATATATGTGTGTCAGGGATCCCTTTCCCAAGCCCCCGCTGCCCCCCCAACAGGCTGACATGCCGGCCATCACCCACCCGCCCCTGCTATCAGAGCACCCCTTGATGCGGCCCGTGCTATGGCGGTCGGCGGATCAGGCGCCGCCATCAATCCACGGCGGTTCCGATGCGGGATCTCTCGGCCCGGGGGACGTCCCAACACCGGCTACCGTGACCCCTCCCCCCAGCTGTCTGCGGCCCTGCAAGAGTTTCTGCTCTGACAGCGAAATGCAGCCGGCCGCTGACGAGAGGGAGGGGCAGGTGTGGCCGCGGGTCGTCGTCAAGGAGCTGGTTCTCGGCACGCCGCCGCCGCCCGAGCCGGATTCAGAGTCAGATACCAGTGACGACGAAGGCTATGACGAGGGGGCGGCGTACTTCTCTCTCTCTGGTGGGCTGGACCAGACCACGTTGCGAGAGGCAATGGCGGAGGCGTCACGCCGCAAGAGGGGCCGCATGGCGTCGCCAGCCGCCGAGAGAGGGGCGAGAGAGGTGTCGCCCATCAAGGTGCCCTTCCCGCCGCGGCAAACCACCCAACACACACACCGGCGGCATGCAGCCCCAGAGAGGGAGGAGCCGGAGTGGTCGGGGCTGCACGCGCTGACCCCCGGGCGGCCCACACAGAGCAAGCATGCCTCGGCAGATGGGCAACAGAAGGGGCGGGGGCGGGGGAGGGGGTGGGCATGGTTTGGGTGTTCCCCGCCGGAGGAAGAGGACGAGACGAGCCGTGAGTTCCGTGAGCGTTATGCGAGGGAGGTGCGGAGCATGCCGCTGTCAAGGCACCTTCGGACGCCTGAAGCCAGAATCTTCTACGACTCCGTGCCCATTGCACACTTCCTTGGTCAGAGAGAGAGAGAGGGCGGGGGACGTGTCAACCTGTCACACGTGTGTGGGGGGGGGATGTGTGTGCGCAGGTGAGACGTATGCGGCCCTGCTGGCCCCTTTCTTGGTGTGGGCCTTCGCGATCAGCTCTGAGGGCGTGTTCAGCCCACGGACAATATGGATGCAGGGGCTCATACAGATCGCCGGTGAGAGAGAGAGACACACAGACATCCCTGCACTGCACGAAGGCAAGCTCGACTCCACCCATCGTGTGCTGTGGGTGCCATATGCATGCGTCACCTGCAATCAATCAGGTGAACTGTTGGGCGACTTCATCCTGGGTGTGCTGCCGGACCGCATCCCGTGTCTGTGCGGCTACATGTGGAACCTGGACTGCGTCCCCACCCCGTCCGTGTGTGTCCCCACCGACAGGTACAAGTACAGACCCCACACGCCCACACCCGCACCCACCCCCATCTCCAACCCCGAGCTCACCACCACTGGCGAAGAGAGGGACCTTGCCGTGTGGAAGCTCAAGCAGCAGATGCACTTCTACGAGAGTGGAGAAGCCGATGACAGCAAGGGGGGGAGGGAGAGGGAGAGGGGTGAGTCCGACGGCAGCGGAGAGGGGAAGGAGGAAAGGGATCTGGGCGACATAGTGGAGGGGTACGACGTGGGGGCGGGGATGGCCCGGTGCTGGCAGAAGCGGTGGGGTGGGTACTTTGGCTTTTGGTGCCTCAGCGGCGGCAGCATGACCCTCTTCTTTGTCTTCAACTACATCTCATCTCTCTGTGTGATCACTGGACCGGGCGACTCGATTATACGCGGCGTGTGTGTCTGACACACACACATAGACACAGACAGAGAGAGGGGGAGGGGGAGGGGGAGGGAGGTCGCGAGTGAGCGAATGAAGGTGAGTCACTCATGTGAACCGATAGATCTCGGATGAGGGGCAGGGGAGGGGAGGCCTCTGCTGCCCTTTGTCGCATGTGTGTTGATGGTATGTATGTATCTGTCAGTCAATGAATACAATACGCACACAGGAAATGAGAGAGCGAGCGGATCAGTGGGTGACCTCCCCGCCCTTTCCGCCTTTTTGCGTCCCATGCGGTGAGGTGAGGGGGCGGGTAGGGGGGTGGGTGTATGTCTGTCTGTCTGGACGTGTGTGGTGCATGTCATGTGTGTGAGGTACGTGAAGCAAGCTGCCTGTTGGTGCGCACGTACACCTTTCTGTGGTGGGGGGGTTGGTGGGCGGATGGCATGCTGCGTGTATTTATTGGTAGTTTATCTATCTATCCCCTTCCATCAGGTTTTACAGCGGGCAGGCTTCCCTCTGTTGGTGTCTGTCTGTCGTGTGTCAGCCGACCGACCAACCCACCCTCCACTGACCATCCCTCCCTGAGCGAGTGTCTGTGTATGTGTGTGTATGTGCAGCAGAAGGCAGTTTTTCAGATGCACATATGCACACAGAGGCACAGAAAGAAAGAAAGACATACACACACGGACAGGACACGGGCAGGGGGAAGATTGATACACACGTGGCCACAGGCAGGCAGGCAGGCAGGCTGGCTACATGCCTGTCTGCACAATTGGAAGGGCGCGTTCCTGGTGATGGGTGGGTGCGTGGGTGTTTTTTCTATATTTGTGTCAGTCACTATGGCTGCTGGGTGCCTCCCATTCTCTCTCCCCATCTCTCCCTCTCTCTCTCTCTCTTCCCCCTTCCCCCCTCCATCTCGCTCCCTACACTGTGCTGCATGTTTTCTTCATCGGTTCATTAGCTGCCTCCCTCCATTAGCTAGTGTGTGCATATTTAGTTCATGTGTGCCATGCATGGAATCAGACAGACAGACAGACAGGCTGGCAGACAGGGGAGCGGCCAGACGGACAGACAGACAGACAGACAGTGGTTGGGTGCATGCGTACAGCTGCACATGGGACTTTCCACTCACGGCAATTCGGGATCCTTCCAATGGCTTCCATCCACACCACACACCGATCGGGATCAATCCATCCATTCCCATGCCCATGCACACAGCGAACAGACGGACGGACAGACATCCATCCATGCGAGCATATGGTGTCTGTCTGTCTGTCCGTCCGTTCGCTGTGTGCATGGGCATGGAAGGATGGGATGGCAGAGGAAGACAAAGACAGACACGCACTAGTACCAATGCGTTATCCCATAATATATTACGTGGTAACGGTGTGTTGTGTGTATGTGTATCAGTCAGTGTCTTGGTGCACACTGCACTGCTCATCAAAGAGCCTCTGCAGCCCCTCTAACCCACCCCTACCACACACAGACAGAGAGAGAGAGAGAGAGAGAGCTCTTTAGCTCTTCTCTAGACCTTCGTGTGTGCGTGTTTCACCCTTTCGCAGCGAGATAGTGTTGGCAGAATTGTTGCTGCACGTCGTGGGTGCACTTGGCCTTATCTGCGGCGAGCTGGTCAGTGTTGTTCCAGACCTGCCTTTGCAGCCGGCGGATCCCGCCCTCCATTGCAGACACCTTAAGTCATCAACACACACCCACACACATCCATCCATCCATGCCATCTCCTCATGTGTCAGTCATCTCAGCTCACCTGCTGCTGCTTCTCATCGATGTATCTCTGCAGCTCCCTCCCTTTCTCCTCTTTCAGCCTCTCCAGCTGCCTCTTCGTTTCCTCCATCCCATTAGCTACAGGACCATCCCTCGCAGCAGCAACAGCCGCAGCAGCAGCTGCAGAGGCAGATCTCTCCGCATCCACCCGCCGCCCCAGGGACACAAACTTGACACAGGTGCGAGTCAGCTCCATCAGCCTGTCGTCGCCGTGGGTGCTGTCGGCCAGATACAGCCCCAGTGTGTGGCAGAGATCGAGCCGCTCGTCGTCACAGTTCTCGGCCTGGTTGGCCCTCTGCTGCTGATGGGTCTCATTCATCCTCTCCAAAGCTCGTTGCTGCGTCCGGAGGTTGCTCATCAGGTGCTCGTAGGACGATTCCTCCTGCGCGCGGAGCCGACCGATGGCCTCGATTTCGCTCCTGAGATCCGCAATCTGGCCCGACAGGTCGTGGACGTGATGGGATGTGTTGAGGGCCGCCTCCCACTCACGGCCATGCTCGTTCCCGTGCTGATGCTGCTGGTGGATGGGGTCCCGCACTGCAGATGGAAGCTGCAGGCCGTGCAACGGCACCACATGGGCGAGAAGCAAGGCGCTGACGCCGAAGAAACTCATCAGCTTGCGTATCTCTCGTAAATCTTCGTGATCGCTTAGAGGTTGCTCGTGTGTGTGTGTCTGCTAAGACGGTTCGCCCAAGTTTGGCTGCTGTCGTGTGCTCTGCTGTTCAGCTCAGACAGGTGTCATGTGTGTACTTATTCTGTGTGTCCGTGTGTGCGTGTGTGTGCGTCGGTGTGGCCGTGATCTCCGAGGACTCAAGGAATGGTACATTAACATTTAGTCACGTCAACAGCAGCAGCTGGGCAGGCAGGCCGGCTGTCTCAATGCACAATACACACACACACACAAACACACACACATAGACACACACACACACACAGAGAGAGACTAACAGACACACACACACACACACAGACACACACACACACACACACACAGAGAGAGAGAGAGAGAGACGCAGCACCATACAACAAGCGGCGCTTGCAGACCATCAAGCAAGCAACGACTGGCCAGCTATCCATGACAGAGACCCCACCGTGAATATTAATTGCTCTCCATCAACCAGTGCGTGTGTGCGTGTGTGTGCGCGATCGGCAACAATCAGATCACGTCGTCACATGACGGCGTCGTGATGTGTGTGTGCAGGCGGGAGTGGGAGTGGGTGTTGGAATGCCGGCTGCGACGCGCCTGGGGCGGGGACGACCGAATAGCCCTGAACACCGCACGAGACAACCACACCGAGGAGTGTTCATGTGTGTGTGGGTGTGTCTGTCTGTCTGCCTGTCTGTCCCTGTGTGTGTGTTGCATGATACCTTGTCCTGACTGGGCTCCATCCCCAACCACTCTGCGCCGCCCTCGGCCTCCTCATGAGCACCCACACCCTCCTGGGACACAGAAAACAAAGCACAGTAAACCAAGTGAAACCCGCCAGTTTTTCCTTCCTCATTCCCTCTTCTCACCTCCTTAGTATCGATCGAAAATCCATCTCTGCGACACACGTATGTCTTCCTTGCAAACGACCCGACTCGCCACGAAACCGTCGTAATAGTGAAGAAGGCAGACACAGCGATGAGTGAGGGATCGACGGCCCCCGGCGCCCACACAAGCGTCAGCACCAAGATGGGCAGTTCCAGCAGTGCAAAGGCCGCAATCCAGATGTGTTGGCATAGTGATGGAGAGCCGCGGATGGCATAGTGAACGAATACTGACGCTATGTCGGCTAGCGCTAAGCCACTGATGACATAGCCGACAATCTCGGAGCCTAGCGTTTCTTCATTGAAACGGTCCACCGTGGGTATCACGCAATCGCCGATCTCATTCAAGCCACAAAGATAAAATATTTTCCGGCTTCGGCACTCTCATCGCGCACTCATCCGGAAACCTCTCGTCGAACTCATCCGGCCACCCCCCCTCCGGGGCCCGGTTCATGATGTAGATTTTCTTGAGGAATTCGGGCGAGCCACAAATAGACATTGCCCGAAAAAACCTGACGCTCAACTTCTCTGCCCACACAATCAATGCCACCCCCACCGCCACAGAAGTGAGGAAGTCAATGACCATCCACACAATGGCCAGCAGTTTGTGCAAGCGAACGAAGGTGAGAAAGTCTATCCGTTTGAACCACCGCTTGATCACCGAGCGATACAGGAAGGGCTCTCCTTGCCGACCCTTGGCTATAAGCTCGGCCATCGCGGAGGGTCTCCAGTCTGCCCGACTGCCGCAGCATGAGAGACGATTGGTATTAACGTCAAGATCCCTTCCACCTGTCGGTTTGGGCGAAGCACGGATAACCCGCGGCTCCTGAAGCACGGATAATAGGGTGAACTGCAGAAGAACCGCACCAGCCAGCCACGTTAGTACGCCAAAGAGCCACCCGATGAGATCTTCGCCAAAGGGCCCAGGACCGTCGAGGTCCAACCACACTATAACCACAACTCCGAACAGGCGTCCGGAGAGGCCGATGGCGAGGACGATCGAGAAATAGATGATGCATCGAATGCCGCACCAGAGAGGCGGTGCAAACAGACTTCCCAATCCGACGAAGAGCATCACCAACGGCGGTATTGCAGTCACAGACGCCGTGACCTCAATCCCATAAACCTCCTCATCAAGCAGGGGCCGGGCGGTAGGGAGGTAGGTAAGTAGGTAGATAACGCCACACTACCAGTAGACTGCATAGATCAGGACAAGGCCGATAATGAGAAGAAAATGCCTCATAGGGTAATCCGTCAGCCAAAAGGTCACACAGCCAATCCGCAACACCAGAAAGCCCCACATGTCAGCCTCCTGAGGCGACGCATCCTTGTCGCCAGTGCCGCCTTCGGCATCTCCTTCAGCCTCCGACTCGGAGCGATACTCCAATGACTCCGCTGGCCTTGTCGCCGAGACCATGTCCTCCGCTTCACCTGATTGTGGGAGGATCAGCCGTGGCAGGAGGAGCGACGTTGATGAGCGTGGGCGGCCATGCCTTCCTTCGCTGTCTTTCTTCGAAATTCTCTCTCTTCTCGCAGTCTCTGCATGCGAGCTGGCGATCCGGGACTCCAGCGTTCCCTTGCGGGATGTGTTCGGCACGTGCATGCGTCTGGGACCTGTCTGCCATCGCTGCTGTACGTGACGTGACAACACAAGATCGGACGCATCTCTCTGCCGAGTGATCTGGCTGTGTGTGCATCTGTGTGGAGCATGCATATGCAGGTGTTGACGGCAGGGGTGGCCTATCTGCGAGGAACAGTCGAAATCGGTACACACACACACACACCATCTCGCAGCGCTGCCAGATCCATGCGCGGATGCGCCTCAGCGTGTCTGTTGTGTTGGTGTGTGCGCGCAGAGCCTGGTGTGTTTGGCCACCGGAGTCAGCAGCTGTTCTCGTGGCTGCAGGTCAGGGCGAAACACAACTTCACACACCCAGGTGAGACCGGTACTCACACAGATAGACACATAGGCAAGCGCCCCCCACAGGTCCGTCCACTGGTGTCGTTCATCGATCCATCCAAGTATGTGTGCAGATGCCGTCGAGAATTGGATCGGTGAGCTGCACGGCCGAGTGCTGGAGATCGGGCCAGGGTACGATGAGCCACACAGACATACACATGGGATCTGTCAATCAGAGTCTGTCCCTGACTGCCATCGGCAGGTCGGGCATTAGCTTGCCCTTCTACAAATGGGATTCCATCGAGGTGCGAATGGACAGATTGACAGCAGAGCAGCATCCCCTCTGTGTATGTGTGTGTGGGGGGCAGGAGTACGTGGGCATCGAGCCAAATCGTTTCTTCTGGGACACATTCCAAGCACGAGCCCGAGAAAGGGGTAAGCGAGCAGATACACACACAAGCGACTCGATCACGAATGCGGACGGAGCGTGGCTTGGCGTGCAGGGGTGCCCGCGGCTCGTGTGCATCTGTCATCCAATGTGTCGCTGAGTGGCTATGCTGACGAAAGCTTCGATGCCGTCGTGTCACTGCACGTGCTGTGCTCCGTGTCACACCTCAAGGTGCCCTGGCCCACTGGTGGACTGGACGTGTGGATGTGTAGGCGATGTGTCTGTTGGTGTGTGTCATGTCAGCATCAGGTATCAGAGTTGGAGCGTGTGTTGCGGCCCAATGGCACCTTTGTCTTCTTCGAGCACATCGAGTATTGGGAGGAAGACACCTGGATACACTACCTGCAACACGCCGTAAGCAGCTTAGCTTCCATCCCTCCAGGCGACGCATGCGACGTCCGTCCATCATCCGTGGGTGCATCTCGGTCTGTCCTGGATCAGTTGAACCCTTTGTGGCGGCGGATCGGCGAGGGCTGCCGTCTCAACAGACGCACAGACAAATCATCAAAGCGTCGGAACGTAAGCACAGGACGACAGGACGACAGGACCACACTCATGACCGTTTTCTTCTGTCTGCACTGTGGCTGGCTGGATGGTTGGATGGTTGGCTCGTTGGTTGCAGGTCTAGTCCAGGTTGATTTAGTGCGTACGATGTTTGACAAGGGCATGCCAGTGCTGGTCGCACCCCACGCATGGGGCAGATTCAGAAAAATCTGAACCGAAGTGACAAGTGGAGTGAGTGTTGATGTAGTTGTGTTTGGTTAAGCGAAGCGGCGGGGCGGGGAGAGTGGGTGAGTGAGTGACTGTGCTGCTTTTTTCCTTTTCCTCCTTTCCTTGAGGGCGAGAGGCACCTCAATCACGTGCATGTGATGTGCTGATGTGCGAGAGGCACCTCAAAATGAATCTTGATGGCCCGCCCTACATGCTGGTTGGTGTACATAGCCGAAGTTGTGTCTGTGTGGACGTGCGGGTCGATGCTTGTGGGGCGATGGCGATGTGTGGGTGTAAGTAGAGACGACTGACTGACTATTATTGCAGTGAACCCTCTCAGAGCCTACAATTAGTACTTGAAGAACTCCTACAACAAAAGAACACAAACCACCTAAACGATGTCAATCGATGGATGCCTACACGGATGCAGTCAGTCAAATAGCGAACAGGTAGCCCCAGGGGATGATGAAGGGGTTCACAACGATCCAAAACATAAACACAGCCGACATGATGGCGGGAAAGGACGTTTTGCGGCCACCGGCCAGCCAGGGCAAGGTGTGGAACACCACAAACAGACCCTTATACAGCAGCTGGCCCACAACACACACACACACACACACACACAAGGACAGAGAGACTGCATCCATATGGTCAGCTGGAGCCTCGCCCCACCTACCTGAATGAGCAGAATCGATGCGAAGGGCAGGGGGTTGTAGAGGCCGCATGCAGACCCGAGAGAGATGCTCGTCCAGAGTGCGCCCGTCACACTCAGCGAATGGGACGGGGCGATGCTGCCCGAGAACAGCTGCCTGCACGAGACACACAAGCAGAGCAGGGGGCATGCAGTGCTCATGCATTGGATGGTGTTGTGAGTGTGGGCGCGTAGATCTGCGGATGCGCGTAGCGTACGTTGCAGCGAACTTCGGAGCAAATAGTGCACTGAGGCCAAAGAAGCCGGCAGCTGACAGCAAGACAATGAATGGCCACCATCTTCTGTGCCCTGAGTTCGCCCTGCGTTCACTCCTCGCTTACCCTACGGCACTCACCAGCCACATTGATGCCATGAATGACGCGCAGGGCCAGATGCTCCACAGCCATTTTGGGCGTGCGTTCCTCCCGGCCTGCTCCTTCCCCCGCCGTGTTTTGGACAATGTGCAGGGTTTGGGTTTGAGGGGTTTGGATCGACTGATCTCTCGCCGCTACTCTCCCTCGTCTGGCCCTCTTCCTTCGCTTCAGTGACGCCGTGGAGACCAGACGCCGCCCGAGACAGCCATGCGCCAAGCAACAGCATCAGCCGGACACCGCGGCTATCGGAGGGTGATCTGTGCCTGAAGGAGCGAGGCATCTTGGAGGGAGGCTCTCGTGCCTTTCAGTCGCAGCGGCAGACCCGTGTTGGCGGACCTAAGGGCAAATCAGATCTAATTATCAGCTGTCAGATCAGCTGTGTGTGTGTTGTGTCGGTTTCTGCCTCCCTTGTGCGGCTGTGAGTTGGGTGTGAGTGATTGAGTGCTCTTTTTGTATCCGGGAGCTCAGTCAGTCAGTCAGTTGCTTGCCTTCTTTAGTGTAGTCGGTGGGCGGCTTGCAGCACAGCAGCCTGGTGCGTGTCTGACTGTCTGCCTGTTTGTCTGTCTGATTGGGAGAGAGCAGGTCTTGTTGAGCGAGTCTGCTTGTTGCTTCTCTTTCTCTCTTTGTCCTCTTGCCGACGTCCACTGCGTGCACTGAGCGAGCGCACGTGTCTGTTATTCTCGCTTGTCTGTCTGTCTGTCTGTCTGTCACTCGTTCACTCACTCACCCACCCCTTCATTCATTCATTCATTGATTCATTCGTCAGCGAGCTCTCGTGGCGCATAGGCGGACAAGCCTGTATGTCGCGAGTGGTGCATTCGGTTGTTGTGTGTGGCATCGCTCTGCTCGGCTTGCTGGT